TGCAAGAGGGAGGAGGTGGTCAGGGACAGTATTGATGTACAGGGCTAAAGGCTTTTAACTCCATCCTGTACACTCTTAGACCTACTACTGACCATTCTGTGTTTGAATTAGAAAACTCATCTTTTCCACATCCCTGCTTTCATGTTAATACTTCACCCTCACACACACACACATCTGCACATAAATATACAAAGGCACATGTGCACACAAACATACATACATTCAAATGCACATTATTAGTGTAAATGAGATCATGCAAGTCAAAGTTCTGAGCTATCAAAAAGATAGTGTCATTGCAATCCAAGGCAAGGTGTGATCTTTAGGACTCCTGGCCCTGTGACTCTGAGGAATATGCACACAAATGACTGGATTTTTAGCTTCCCACAGACACAACTGGCTCCTTCCTCACATTATTCAAATGATGCCTTTGACCAAGAGATTTGGGGCCTTCCCCACTCCACTTCTCTCCCCTCACTTCCACCTCGTTTGTGTTGACTGCTAATTTATTTTGATTCATTAGCCTGCAGAGACTTTGTGATTATACATGCTGAGTATGAATTTGTACTGGGGAGAGAAGGTTGCTGGCATCATGGAAGTTGCTGAAGCATAGTTAAATATTCAGCAACGATTCAAATGGAGAAACACCAGTGGGGCCACAATATTGCCTCGCAGATGGCGTTTGATTAATAAATTGGAGATGCGGAATTATGAAGCCATTGGGTGCAAGGATGGATTGAAAACTGCAAGGGGATGAGAGAAGGGCCTGGTGCCAGATGTCAGGCTGTGTGTATGTGGAAGCTCCTCCTACCCCTACCCCCAGGGTTCTGTCCAGCTGTGAGGACTGTTCCAGATCATATCTAACCACACAATCATGTGCTGGGTTTTCAAAATCCTGCAGATTTGTGTAGCCAAATTCCACATGAGATTGAATTAAACTGAGAATATCGTAGGTACAGACTAGACTCCATTTACCAATAATTCCTCTTTCAGGGTAGCCTTCTTTCTACTGCTATGGTCACATTTTCTTCTCCAGGTAAAGGAAGCACTGTGTCTAACTGCAGGAAAGATGAGGACTCACTTCCCTCCCTCCTAGCTGGCTTGTTCAAGCTCCTGTCCTCTCTCTCATCTCTTTCTTTCCCTTCTCCTCCCTCTAGTGCTCATTCTGTTTTTTAAAGATGAGTCTACAGCTATATATACATCTATCTATCTGGGGGTATTGGTGGTTTAGTGGTAGAATTCTTGCCTTCCATGTGGAAGACCTGGGTTTAATTCCTGGTCAGCGCACCTTATGTGCAGCCAGTACCGATCTGCCAATGGAGGTGGCTACGAAGTTTCAGCAGAGCTTCCAGACTAAGATGGACTAGGAAGAAAGGCCTGGAAATCTGCTTATAGAAATCAGCCAATGAAAACCTTATAGGTCACAGTGGTCCAACCCACATTTCGTTCCATTGTGCATGGGGTTGCTGTGAGTTGGAGGTTGACCATCTATCTATCTAGCTAGCTAGCTGTCTATCATCTATCTATCTATGTACCATCTATCTATTAAAATAACAAGAACTGAGGAGAAATGCACAATTCATTTCTCATTCATTCAACAAGCGTTTGGTGACCATCAACACTGTGCTAGGCAATCCCTTGATGCCCCATTTCTATAGAATTCACTCATCACTGACTTCCTTCAGGTTCTTTCCTGTGACTGTGATAGATCTAATCTGATGGCCTAAGGCAGAAATAGCCAGTTCACCAAAGATTCATGCTCTCCTTCATGTTTTGGGGAAGAAGCTGTCCAATGAAGTACATCCTTTCCAAGCCCCTCTCACATCTAGGTGGAGCCACGTGACAACAGAATGTGAGTGGATGGACCATGTGCCATTTCAAGGCCTGAAGTATAAAAACTTCCCATGCAATTCTCCATACTCCATCTGTTCTGATTATCTAGTGCCGCTCTGACAGGAATATATACCACAAATGGGATGGCTTGAACAAACAGGAGTTTATTCTCTTACAATTTTGGAGGCTTTAAGTCTGAGTTCAGAGTGCCAAGTTCTAGAGGCTGGGTGAAAGCCCCTCAACCTTGGGGTCCAGCTCTGCCTCCTGCTCCTGGCCCACTGGAGCTAGAGGTGTTTCTTCACTCAGACAGCTGCAGGCTGCTGAGGCGGACAAACCCAAAGTTGACAAGTAAAAAGGCACAGTCCCGATGTTACCAAACCACACGGCAGGCCATTAATTTAAGTTCATTGTAAGTCCCAAGGTCAGAAGAGCATGGCAGGCTGCTGAACAATGACATGGCTACATGCAGGGTCCAAGCGTGCCATAAACTAGAGACCATTCCCCAAGGCTTCTGCTTATATACAGGAAGCAGACCACATTCCCTAAGGCAGCTACTCAGATGCTCACAGTCGATTCCACCATGGAGTTGACTACCAGTCTCATCATGGGGAATACTACATCCAGCTGCCCAGCCACCCAACCAGGCCCAGCCAAGTTGACACACAAACTGAACCACCACACCTGTTGACACACAAACCGAACCACACACACATCTTTCCCCATTTATTGACTGTCAGCAAAGGACTCTGAGGCCCTAGGGGATGGTAGAACCACATTTTGAAGGAGGTTCAATCTACGAGGAAGGCTGCTGCTTGATGAATCATGACACTGAACTCTAATATGTGCAAGAAATCACATGGGCCAAGTCACTAAGCCTAGGGTTTCTCTGTTATAGTAGCTGGCAATACCCTGGCTGGTATAGGACCCTGTGCCCTGTCCTTGGCTCCTGGAGGTCAGAGGTCTTCCTGACATACTCCCTCCCAGCTTTTCCATCTTCAGCCCCAAACATTTCACATCTATATATTGTCTCATGCTTTTGCCCATAATATACACTCTGAAATGCCTTTTGACCTGGGGAAATCTTATTTATCCATCAAAGTTTAATTCAGTGTTAACACCTGGATTAGTTTCGTAGGCTGCTGTAACAAACTACCACAAACTGGGTGGCTCATAAGAACATAAATGTATTGTTTCACCATCCTGAAGGCTAAAAGTCTAAAATCAGGGTGACAGCCATGTTGATTCCTTCCCATGGCTCTGAGGAAGATTCTGTTCCACACCTCTTCCCAACCTCTGGTGATGGCTGGCATTCCTTTGGTTCCTTGGCTTGCAGCTGCATCCCTTCAATCTGTCTCCATTGTCACATGGCCATCTTCCCTCTGTCTCTTCTCTTTTACAAAGACACCACTCAGATGGGATTAGGATTCACCTACTCAGTATGGCCTCATATTAACTTAACCGAAAACATCTTCAAAGACTTTATTTCCAAACAAGGTCACATTCACAAGTATAGGGATGAGGACTTTACCAGATCTTTTGGGGATGCACAATTCAATCCACACTACCACCTCAGTGAATTTTCCTGTTTTCCCAGCTGCTCACTCCTATCTACTCTCAGAGGGCTTGTTCTTATTTCTGTACACACGTCACACTGTTTCCTGAGCATTTGATTCAGCAAATTCTTAAGGACAAGCAGCCCAAGACCCACCATATGGAAAAAACTAAATGCATTGTTATGTACAGGATTCAGAGAGGGCCATGGCTAGAATGTCCTGGGCATGGTCCCTGATTTAAACAAATGCCACAGATCTGCTCCCTGCCTTCCTGAACCTAAAAGAGGCAAGAGACATGACTGCCACAGGCTCAAGGATCCATAGACAACAGACACCAGCCAGGCAGGAGTGGGCTGTGAGGTGCTGGGATTGCCTGCCAGTCAATGTGTACACTCTAGGAGAGAGGGGTAAAGTGTGGCCCAGTAGGGGGTACTTCAGGGATCTGAAGTTTCTGCATCCAGGTCTAGGTAGTGCAGGCCTAAGACAAGCAGGGAAGCCCCTTCTACTCAACCTGGAAATACTTCCACAGGAAGTAGAATGAAATCAATGAGAGGAGAGCAAGCCAGGCATGGTAGTACTGCATCACAGAAAACAAAATATGGAGCAACGTAAGGGGAATGTGAGCTCTTTGTATAGGTACTGATGTGAGACCAGAGGGAATGCTGTTGTGCCTAGGAAAAAGAGGATGCTACTGTTTTTCACTGCATCCTGCATGGCAAACTCTGCCACCTCCCCTTGGACACTGATCTCCTTAGACCCTTCTTCCCACTTCTGACACCTCAGCCCTCTGCCCTGCTGGATTCTCTTTCCCCACTCCTTGATCTCCCTCCTCCACAGGACTAGGTTACTTCTCTCAGGGGCCACCTGTCTGAGGGCTGGGCTCATACATTCATATGCTGCTGAGAAATGGGCACAGAAGTTAGCCCTGTGAAGGGAATGAAATAAAAAAAATATATAGAATGGTCAAAAAACTCCCTATCTAAATTTTCATTCCTTTGATTAGTAGTGTAATTTGCAATCAATACTATAATCCTCTGGAAAAGTAAAAAAGATTTTCCCATAGACAATTAAGCTCTCAAAAACACATCTCGATTGAATCTGTATTTACAAACTCAATATGCCTGGTCTCAAACTCTCCTTTTACAGTTGTTTTTCAGTTTTCAAAAGTTGACATTCATTAGTTTAAATATGTTTGTGAACATAAAATAGACCTTCACATTTGTAAGATATTTGTCCAGAGCCTTTTAAAAAAAGAAGTTAGCCCAAGGCTCTGCAGGTCTCTGTCCTATACAAAGTTCCATTTCAGGAATCTGACCTACAGCAGCCTTCTATAGAGAAGGCCCTGGTACAATAGTGATTGTTATTGCTGTTGTTGTTAGCTGCTATCAAGTCGGCCACTGACTCACAGCAGGTCTATGCACAGTGGCATGAAATGCTGCCTGGTCTTTGTCCATCCTCGTGCTCAGTTGCAGATCAGACCATATGATCCATAAGGTTTTCATTAGCTGATTGTCAGAAGTAGATCACCAGACCTTTCTTCTTCTCCTGAAACCTGTTTAGGCTTATAGCAACATGGAAGCCTTCATTGACAGACAAAAATGGTTGATGTGCATGAGGTGTATTGGCTGGGAGTTGAACCCAGGTCCCCTGCATGGAAGGCAAGAGTTCTACCAATGAACCACCAATACCTTACCAGACAAGAGTACAACTGACTGAATTCGATCCTTCCCCTTAAAGTGGATGCTTTGCTATTGGCATGTGAAGATCTGAGAACAGTTCTCAGAAATCTTTTTTTTTTTTTTTTT